GAAGTTTTTAGAAGGCAGTGGGCGGGAGTGATGAGGGGCTGATCTACACAGGGGACTCTGGCCAATCCCCAAGCAGGAGGCTTGGCATGGGGTCGGGGCAGTGTTTAAGTATGACTGAGCCTGCTCAGCAGTAGTAGTGTCAGGTGAAAAATGAAGTGAAGGCTGGAATGTACAGCCTGGGAGGGGGCCCAGGGAGAGTGGCCTACTTGCAGGCAGGAGTTGGAAAGGAGGATCTCTCAGTCTCAACTGTCTCCTCCCTGAGAGAGGATAGCCTGGGCAGCAGGGAAGAAGCCAGGCCAGCATAAGGCCTGAAGGCAGCCACTAACCCACAAGCTTGCGGGAGAGGACTGAGTGAGTAATCCTGCACCCCCTAGGCTAAATAAGGGGAGTGGACATTCTGGTGGGAAACCTGACTAGCCCCATCTGAGACTGTTGATTTAAATTGACAGTTTCTGTGTCCCCTTGCCCAATGATTCCCTCAGGCAGCTGGGCGAGGAGAAGAATTCATCTGGGGTCTGAAGTAGTAAACCAGGAGGGCAGGAGAGCTCTTCAAGAAGAGGATCTTTGTCTGTGAACTTGTACATGGCTGCTAAGGAGTTGTCCTCAAGTTGCAGTTTCCTTGGGCATCCCGTACATCACTCAACCCTATCCAAGTTCAATACCCCTTAATAAAGCAAAAAAACAACAATTGAAAGGACTGTTTACTGTCTCTAGCATACAAGGTCTGAAGAAAATGTGTGTTGCCTGGCAGTACAGGACTATAGGGGGTCCCAAAAACTCAATGACTCCTAAGGCAGTAGTGCTACAAAAAGAAGCCTTCCTAAAACCCTCTACAGCCTGTGATAGCTACATCCTGAGTTAGTGCAGGAAAGGAGTAGCCATTGAGCAATGTCTCCTAGTGTCATGTTGTGTAGCTCTGTCCTGTTCCTTCAGGTTGCACATGTACATAGTGAGCGCTCTCCTGTCACCTATGATGAGCTCAGCAGCTGTGACCAGAAAGAGTATACACTGTGCATGTGTGATCTGAAGTAAAAGACATCTTTCCCTCCCATGGCAATAGGGGGTGCTGGTCCTAACGGCTATCACTTCATACTTGGTATGGTGTGTAGCACCTTCCTAGTCAGCTAGGGTGAGCTAGAGCCCTAATTGTTAGTCAGAGGCTGGATAGCAGCCTGTGCAATAGTCAGAGAGTCAAATTCAGGTCAGAGCTGAGACGCTCTGCAGATCAGTTCATTGAGACTTTCCCCTGCACTAGGACTTTGAAGAAAGTTTTAGAAACAGTGGGAGGATGTTAGGAGTGGCTGATCTTCACCTTTGAGGAATCCTGGCCAATCCCCAACAGGAGGCTTGGTAAAGGACCAGGACAACCCTTAAAAGTGACAGAATCTGCTCAGAAGTAGGAGAGTTGGAGTAGAGTTTGGGTGGAATAGGATGTGATGGCTGGAGAGTAGGAGCCTGGGATAGGGCCCAAATGGGAAGGGGCTCACCTCCAGGCAGGGACCTTGGAAGGAGGAAAGCTTGGACCTTCAATAGATGTGAGGAGGCGCACTAGACACCTTGGCTGCCATTGTGCTATATGCTGGGTGTCCAGTGCTCTCCTGTACCTTTAAGGAGGGGTGGGCTCCCTCAGGCTCATCTGCCTTCAGTCTATCTATTAGATACATGTGTCTCTACTATTGGGGCTCTCAAAATTTGTAGGTAGGAACTGCAGAATGTTTACGCATGTATTTGCAAATATGTGCTAACTAAACTAAGCCCTGGTTTTAATGCATACTGTTAGACAGGCTAATTCAGTTTGTTTGCAAGCTGGTTGGTAAGTTGAGCTGGGAATTTTTCTCTTTTATTGTTTGACATGCGTCATCCTTCCATGTGCTCTTCACTGTGAAGGCCAGTTATTGGCTGGGGCAGTGGCCATTTTTTATATTGGACCCTCACTGGCCCCCTGAGAGAGAACCACCTGTGTAGCAGGGAAGGAGCAGCCCAGCTAGAAGGCCTGGTAGCAGTCACCCACCTGCAGCATACGAGAAGGACCAAGTTACTATCCCTGCAACCCCTGGGCCAGATAGGGGAAGGAGCACTCTGGTGAGAAACCAGTTTAGCAACTACCTGGGACTGTCTTCTTTTAAAGTAGCAGGCACTGGATCCCCTGTCAGGGATTCCTCCAGGCAGCCAGATAGAGGAGCATCTGGGGTCTGGTGTGGTACTACAGGAGAAGCTGGCTAACTGTCAGAAAGAGACTGTTTGCTGTAACTACTTGTTCATAGTTCAGGAAGTTGTCCTCAGTTTCTCAGTTCTATTTAGCATCCCGTACACCCCTTACCCTATCCAAGTTGAAACCCCCCCCCCTAAAAAAACCTCAAAACAAGCTCAAGGACTGGTTACTGACTCCCAAATGCAAGATTTTGTGGAAATATGTATTGCCTGGCTGTGCAGGACTATAGGAGGGCCCAAAAACTTTGTAACTCCTAAGGGGGTAGTGCTACAGGTGCTATCACAGACTGTAGACTGCTACACTCATATGGCTCAGTATAGTAAGCTTCTTGGTAAAGGTGAACGTACTCGTTAAACCACAGATAAGGCTGTGATGACCACTATCAGACAAGAGGAGCACAGGCAGACAACTCTTCACACAGGTTCTTCAAGGTCTGGTTCTTCAAACTCTCCTACCTATTAATACTTCCTCTTCTCCTGTTTGTTTCAATTTTTTTTTCTTTTTTCTTTCATTCCCCTCATCCAGCTACCTATCCATTATTCTGCATTCTACCCACTTACAAAACCCTCACAGTCTAAGTCATAGTACACTAATTCTTAAAGCTGAACTCCAGGCAAACAGCTGCATAGAAAAAATGAAATACACTTAAAGTGGTTGTAAACCCTTACAAATACTCAGTGAAGTGACTGGCCCCAGGTGATGAAGCAAATCCTCCTGCATAAGTTGTACCTGTTTATCTGCACCATCTCTTCTACTTTAACTCAAAATCCAGAATTTACAAAGCTTGTCTGAGCTTCCAGAAAACAGGGGGCGGAGATCTGAAGTTACACTCTGCAGTGCTTGGTGAGGACAGCTAAGAGCAGATTGAAGGAAAGGGGGGGACACCCCTTCAGATGGCAGTGAAACGAGGCAGTGGAGAGAAATGATGGATTGAGATTGAGACAAGTACACACTGTAAAGGGATACGCTTTGTTCATATTTCATGTCTGAGGTTTAAAATCACTTTTAGAGAGCTGATATACCCGCTGAAGGATTTGAATGTATGTCCATCCAGTTTTGAGATTTATACAGCTCTGCCACAAAGCACATCCATATCTGATAGGGCAGGAGACCTGATTTGTCTTTGTTGTATATAAGTAACACTTACGGGTATTGACCATCCCAAGCCTGTGACTGGATAGATACAGGAGAAGCAGCAAAACTTATCTGTCTGTCACCCTGCTCTTTCCTTCTATCAGCAAGCACCTTGCACTGCAGCACAGCTGATTGGCTCCTTTGCTGCCTCTTCCTCTCTAGGTGGTGCTTTGCTGTATGGAAAGTTTGGTTTTCATCATTGATGACTATCTTGTGTATCTGGAGAAAATAAATACTTATATTTTCAAATCAAAACACTAGATTGGGTTGCAATAGATGTATGCACAGTATGTGTGTGTCCACCTGAAATCATTACTCTGATTGGTGTTTATTCATTTATTACAGGCCTGTGCTCGATATTTTACTGACCTAGTTTTTTTATTGCTAGATGAGGGCTTTTTCTTTCTTTATCTTCAAATTTAGTGATGATTGACAACCTTGTAGCTAATATGCCATCATAATTGAATTCTGAAAAGACCTTTGGCTTACAAAGTTCTTAACCTCATTAGTTTGTTTTGTCATGTTGGCTGCCAAGATTGGCAATGGATACTTTATTCTTCACGCGTTTTTCCCCTGACTCATCATAACTGGTAAATCAAATTTCCTGAACTGGACATTAAATTCTAAAGGGAACTCAAGCTTACACCACATTTTTATCAAACAATACAAAAGGGGCAAAACTAATAATATTCTATGTAAAGTAGATTGGGTTGTAAAATGATAAGGATGAAGTACTCACCAGAGGCTTCTTTTCTTATTGTTGTCTGCAGCCTAGAAGCTGTTTACCCCTAATCCACAGAAGAAATTATTATAATGCCAGAAAACTACATGAGCAAGAAAATTGATGTATAGCTGTGCAAAATCCTACTTTGACCATTGATATGTTTCAGCTGCTAACTCTGGGGAACTAACAATAACCCCTGGGTCACATATCCACGTTCCTGCGGGCCGCTTTTTTGAGCGAACACGGGAGCCCATTCATTTGAATGGACTCCTGTGCCCTGGGATACAGAGGGAAGAAGTCCCTGCACTTCTTCTGAAAATGCAGCTCGCACAGGAACCTCAGTTCCCAGTATGGTTGCGATTTTCAGTGTGGGTAGCGTGCCGTTAGAATTAATGGCACCCATCTGCAGGTCTGCATTCTTCTGTGTGGGTGGTGCGGCTGCGCAAATTTTTGTGCGGATCCGCAGCAGCACCTCCCGCACATATGTGAACCTAGCCTAAAACCATGTTGCTGTGGTTAAAGAGGAACTTCACTCTCTGCATCAATGTTGATTTTTTTTAATCCGTATGCTGCTAGCATTAGTAAATAGATAGGAACATATATCATATTTACTTGTTCTGAACAATTTTTTTTACTTCCTGGTTTCTTGCCAAGGCATACATCTCAGAAGTCTTCTAGAGAGGAATAGGGGTTTTATTAACTAAGCACATCCTCCTGCTTGTATGCCTGATCTAAGAGCAGATGGATCCAGGACATCAATGCTACATGGACCATCTGCCCTTACTCAAGATGGCCACGGTCAGAAATGCTGGGAGGGGGGGTTCAAAGTGATTTCTCAGAAAAATAAATCATGGAAACATGGATGGATGGGGGAGATTGCATTGAATATTAACCTCCTTAGCGGTTTTCCCGAGTGTAGCTCGGGGTAAAATTTCAGTACCAAGAGCGGTAACCTTGAGCTACACTCGGGCTTACCATGCGGCGTTGCTCAGGGGGTCCCTGCAGCACTTACCTTGTCCCTCGCTCCCGCGATGTGTCCCCTGCAGCATCCCCGGCCATCTCCTCCGGCCGATGCCGGCATCCGGCTTCCGTGTTCCAGTCCCTGTGACGTCGGGATGTACGGGCACCGGAACCGGTGGCAAATTTGAAATTTTTGCTGTCATTGCTGTTTCAATGAATTTCACATACATTTTGTCCCTACTGCTTTGTCCTGTGCCCTGCCTGCATTTTGAATGTTCTTTCTGCCTGGAAACTTAGAAAAGTCCATGGCGTCCAAAAAGCGTCCTTTTACGTCAAAAGCGGTTTTAGAACAGCGATAGTAAATCAGAACCACTTGCAGAATTGAGTGATAATGATTCGTGGGGAAATTCGTCATCAGACACTGAAAACGATTTTGCGACTTTGCTCAGCGATATGCGAATTTGCCTCCATATTTCAAATTTCAGTGTTTTTGGTTTGATTATATTATTGAATTAAATTTATTATTATATTATTATTTTTTATGATTATTTATTAAATTATAATTTATGATTTCGTGCTTCAAGTTTTATCATATCCGGAATGTTTACTAGACTCTTGTTCAGACAGATTTCAGTGAGTTATTCCTAAAAATTACAGCCTACAATAAAAAACTACATATTTCCATGCAAAAAAATGGTACCCGCTTTCAGCACCAAAAATCGGAAAGAATCATACCGCCGAGGAGGTTAAAAATGAATTAAATAGCATTTTTGCTTTGTGGAGCACAGATGCAGTGAAGTTCTAATTTAGGTTCTATGCCCACCAGCATGCAGAATAAATGTAAAACACTCAAAAGAGTAGGGATTCATAATGCCTTTCTTAATTATTTAGTTATAAAGGCAGACTGATTTTACAGACCCTGCATGGTTTTCTTGGCCACTGCCAGGAGAAGGTGTGACTCAAACTAAATAAATTACAAAAAGGAGCACCAGTCACCAGACCAAAACTGGATAAAAGAGTCCAAGATCATTTTGATTGTTGGTAATAAAAAAGTCAAATCATCAAGATAAAACGTGGATAGACTCCATGTGGTTCAAATATAGATCTGTGATGTCACAGTTTTCTCTGCATCCAAATTTTATCTTCTGTTGAGCCCTAATGAAGGGGGAATGGTGTTGCTCCCAAAACGCACTGGACATTTAAAAAAAATTTTTTACCACCAATTAAAATGATCTTGGACTTTTTCATCCAGTTTTGGGCTGGCTCTTTTTTTTGCATTTCTATGGTTGTCACTACTTCTGGGTGCCCATCAAGGAAAGCCTTGCGATGTGTCAGTTGCTTCACCAGAGCTATTGAGTTTGCTTGAAGTTTTCCTTTATCTGGCTACACAAGTCTACATGTTTCCAGTGCCTCGTTGAGTACGTTGTTCAGGGGAATGAATGGCTTCAGGGCCAAGTAGAGTAAGCTATGGCATCAGGCTGGTACATAGAGCCTCCAACACTCCCAGAATTGTCAAAGGAAGTAAAGAAATAGCCTTGTAGCACATCATCAACACAAAATGAAAAATAAAATACATCTTAATCATAATTGGTTTCAGAGTCAGTTCAAGGTCAGTCTACTCAAAGGCAATATTTCAATGAAAATGTGGAATAGACTCCCTCAAGAGTTGGTTCTGGCCAGCTCAGTGGATTGCTTTAAAAAAGGCCTGGATTCTTTCTTGAATACACAGAATATAACTGGATACTAACATTTATAGGTAAAGTTGATCCAGGGAATATCCGATTGCCTCTCGGGGGATCAGGAAGGAGTTTTTTTTTCTCTGCAGGAGCAAATTGGATCATGCTTTGCTGGGTTTTTTTTTTTTGCCTTTTTCTGGATCAACTGTGGGTATAGGATTATTTTTTATTTTTTTTTACTGGTTGAAGTGGATTAACTTTTGTCTTTTTTTTCAGCCATACTAACTATGTAACTACATAATGAAGGGTACAGCCAGGTGGGCTGTCTTACCCCCTGCCTTCAAGTACAGGGTGTGTCAGGTCTTCCTGGGGTGTTCCCACTTCTTCTGTTGCATTCTCCATAATATAAAACACATTAAAAATCAAAATAGAACTCCCTAACTACAGTAAGGGTACAAACCTAGGAAGGCAAACCATCTCACCATGTCACCAGTTCTAGAGATGAAAAAAAATGTAAATGTAAATGAATGCAGGAAGTAAAAAGTTGGTATTGCCACTGCTTGTGATCTAGCATGGATTGAAATGATGTGCGAATGTCAAATAAGTGTAAGAATTATCTACTGGTTGGCAAAATGTAGCACATTTCAGTTGAAAGCTCTTCATGTGCAACTTGCCAAGGACTTATTGTCAACTTTTTAACCAAAGAGTAATATGATGGTAGCTTTGTATTGCCAGAGTTACCAAAAGGCAGCAGCGTCATAGCTCTCTACTCTCAATGAGCAGAACGTTTGCCAGTTTCATCAGTAAAAGAAGATTCAATAATAATGTAAAAGCTGGGAGGCTGCAATCTGAATGAAATTGAATAACAAGGGTTTTTTTTCCCATAAAACCCTGGGGTTTATAGACATCATTGTCTGTCTGGTTGTATGTTTTAGTGGGTATAGTGGAGGATTACTATTTTTTATAGCAATTTTGACATTTTTTTAATATGATTTGATGAAATTTTGATATAATAAAATGATGGCAGTTTCAGGGAGATTTAAAGTGGGGTTTTGTTTTGCCATTATTTGTTTTTCATAGGGAAAGGAGATATCATATGGGAGCCTCCTGCACAGTTCAGGATCATCAGCAGCTCATAGGACATGGCAACTGTACCCAAGAGCTGTTAGAAAAAATGGTCAACCTGACAGCCCCCTCCCTAAAAAAAAAAACACACAGTTTACTATGCTTCACTTATGAATGAACACAGTGAGTTATTGGCACTGATCAAGCATTGTATTCATTCAGGAAAGAAAGGGCTGGTAAATGTGACATATTTACCAGACTCTTCCCCCACTCTTCATTCTGAAGGATCCAATTGTGTGCTCGTAGCTGCTGGTGGGAAGGACAGAAGGGAAATTGGCATAGCACTGCATGGGGGGTGGCACACAGGGAGGCCTGGGAAGCAGGGGAAATGTATGGTGTACAAAGAGGGTGATGGTTGCAAATGGGTGGGGGGGCAGTTCCTGGAACTGATCCCCTGTATAGCTCTCTTTGCAGCAGCTGAAAGCCAGCAGAAAGAGGTTGAGAAGAAGCCAGCTTTCAGCTGCTGCAGAGAGAGCCATACAGGGCATCAGTTCCAGTAATTGCCCCTCCCCCCACAAGCTGTGCTAATCACCCTCCCTGCCCACATCCAATTCACCCGGCTGCCTGGACCCCCCTGTTGGCCTTGGCCCTGTACAGGAAGACTGGTGGCACCCACTTATCCACAGCCCTGAGTGTACCTTACAAATTGTTTAAAAAGAGGGACTTGTTTCATTTAATTATGGCCAAGAATTCTGACCAGTTCCCATATAGTTTTTTGTCGATTGCCTGAATGCATATGGATCATGTACACCCTGTTATTATTACCATTTAGTAACTAATGTGGAAATTGTATTTGGTTGCCAAATACATGATTGTGTCTCTACGGTCTATGTATCCCCATAGAAGTGAAACAATTACACATTTGTGTTAAAGTGGAATTCCATTCAAAGCTAACAAAAGCAAGACCTACTCCCACGCCCTTTTTAAACTGATTCTATCTAACCCTTTAATCACCTTCCGCCCGCCATATAGTCCAATGATGGGCGCAAGGTGGTTCTCTCATTCTGATAGGACGTCATATGACGTCCTTCCATTCTCACCGCGCATGCGCGGCTCAGGGAGCATGCAGCACAGCGATCGGCGGTGCGCTGTGTCCCTTGGACACAGCGGATCACGGAAAGAGCCGAAGATGTCGGCTCGGTCATGTGATCAGCTGTGTCCAATCACAGCTGATCACATGTAAACATGGAAATGCCGGTTATCAGCATTTCTCTCCTCTCGAGCTGTCACCCTGACAGCTCAAGAGGTGAGGAGAGCCGGTAATCGGCTTTCCACGGAGGGGACATGTATACTGATCATCAGGGCACTGATGATCAGTGTGCCCTGATGATCAATGTGGCCCCAGAAGTGCCACCTGTCAGTGTTCATCAGTGCCAGCAGTCAGTGCTCATCAGTGCCATGTGCCAGTGCCCATCAGTGCCACATCAATGCCACATATCAGTGCATACCAGTGCACATCAATGCCACATATCAGTGACCATCTGAGCTGCCTTTCAATGTCACCCATCAGTGCCAGTCAGTGCCATCTATCAATGCCAATCAGTGCCACCTGTCAGTGCCAGTCAGTGCCACCTATCAGTGCCAGTCATTGTCGCCTATCAGTGCGCTTTAGTGCCGCCTGTCAGTGCCAGTCAGTGCTGCCTGTCAGTGCCAGTCAGTGCCGCCTAACAGTGCCAGTCAGTGCTGCCTAACAGTGCCAGTCAGTGCGGCCTAACAGTGCCAGTCAGTGCGGCCTAACAGTGCCAGTCAGTGCCGCCTATCAGTACCGCCTATCAGTGCCATATATCAGTGTCATGTATCAGTGCTGCCTTTCAGTGCCCATCAGTGATACCTGTCAATGCCCATCAGTGCAACCTGCCAGTGCCTCCTCATCAGTGCCAATCAGTGCCCATCAGTGCCACCTATCAGTGTCCATCAGTGCAGCCTATCAGTGCCCATCACTGCAGCCTCATTAACGCACATCAGTGAAGGAGAAAAATCATTTATTTACAAAATTGTATAACAAAAACTAAGAAAAAAACTTTTTTTCAAAATTTTCAGTGGTTTTTGGTTTGCTTAAGAAAAAATAAAAATCCCAGAGGTGATTAAATACCACCAAAAGAAATCTCTATCTGTCTCAAAAAAATCATAAACATTTCATATTAGTACAGTGTTGCATGACTGCGCAATTGTCATTCAAATTGTGACAGCGCTGAAAGCTGGAAATTGGCCTGGGCAGGAAGGGGGTATAAGTGCCCTGTAGGCTAGTGGTTAAAGAAAGCTTCACTGTACTTACCTATTCTGTGGCTGCTCAGGTCTTGTCTCCAGTGGTGGCTTCTGTGTGCAGAAGGGAAAGCCGACAAGGACAGCAAATTCCTGGAGATGACATCACCCATAGGCTTCCACTTTAACATGTAACTGCAGATTGCAAACCTTACTTTTGGTAAAGTAAATCCTAAGTCATTTTTTTTACATTTTTGGATACAGTGGAATGGTGATAGGTTAGAACCTTTTTTTTTTTTTGCTGTCTGTGTCTCTGCTAGGATAATCATTCTCTCTTGGAATTGTAAGACATTTCAGAATCGTGAGTTGACTTCAGGACTAGATGGTAAATCTTCCTATGGGAACACTTGTTCTAGTGATAACTGTCAAAGAGACTTTGGAGAGATTTCCTCTATAGGACAGGAAGTGGAGATACATCTCCCTAACTCAGTAAATATGTCAAAAATACGATTTCCTACTCAATCCAAAGCAAAAGAAAAAATAAGTTGTAGGCAGGGGTGGACTGACAACTCATGGTCCCTAGTGTGGATTTGACATTTGGTTGACTTGGGGCAAGTCAGAGCAGCAAGATGTAAAGCAGCTTAATCACTGGCAGAAAAATGTGTGTGAGAATGTAGCTTAATAATTTCGATTTGAATATTTAGGGAGCTATGGACACCAATGATAAGGAAAGGTTACTTCATTCCACAAGATCAGTATACGCATTCTGTTTATCATATCTGGCAGCCACAGCTGAGTTAACACTTGTCTGCTGGACATAATAATAGACCCTGGAAGGCTTCCTCAAGAGGCCTGCACATCATGTACTATGCCTTGATCTTCTGCATAGACATCCCATCACAGAATACCTTTGCAACTTTTATAAGAGTGAGCAGTCAGTTGACTGTAGGTGGCCAGGGGCCATGCTTCAGTCTACCACAGGGGAGGACTGACAACTCATGGGGCCCCCGAGCAATAGGGGATCATGGGGCACCTCTGTCCTTGCCCAAACTCAAAAAAGCCTATGAAAAAGGTACCAGGGGCATCTCATGGGGCCCCCTACTGCCCCCGGGCCCTCGGGCAGTGCCTGAGTTTCCAAATGGTCAGTCCGCCCCTGGTTGTAGGTACACTTTAATTGCATGACAGCAACTTTCTATTTGAGAAATCTTATGTAATGCCCTCTAGCTTAGCTAGATAGCAGTTTATTGTTTTATTTTTCTAGTCAGAGGCTGAGTAGCAGGTAGAGAAGAGAGACAGCAGTGTTCTTGGACAACTTGCCAGCCAGCTTGCTAACAACCGAATTAACCTGTCTAACAGTATGCGTTTATAACAGGGGTTTAGTTAGCACACATTTGCAAATACATACGTAAGCCACAGAGCCACGACACGGCACCCTGATAATCTGTGGTCCTAACTCTACAATTTGTGAGTCCCCATAGTAGAGGCACATGCATTTAATGGATAGATCAAGGGCAGGTGAACCTGAGGGGGCCCCATGATCCCCTATTGCCCCATGAGTTGTCAGTCTGCCCCTGCCCTCAATCCCATCCAAGTTATTTACCACGTAATAAAATCACAAAACCAAGCTCAAGCACTGTTTTGTTGGCTGAGTGCAAAGTGTGGAGAAAAATGTGTGTTGCCTGGCTGTCCAGAGCCTTAGGGCAACTGAAAACTCAGTGGCTCCTAAGGGGGTAGTGCTACACTTAGTTAATACTGGTAATAACCTTCGATTTTCCTTACGTTCATCCTTTTCAGGTTTGCTATAGGTGGGAAGATGTTATGATAATTTTGCCTGCAGTGCAGTTCTTGTTTCTGCAGTGCAGACACTGAGCCCAAGTGATTTATAACTGTTTCCCATCACATTTTTGTGCTATGGTCTGTTAAGTCCTTTGACCTGTTGTGGTTGCAGTGCGCAGTCACTGATGAATCACATCTCTGTACTCACCAGGATTTCGAATCTCTGAAAAGCAATGTTCTATGTCACACTAAAGGAGAGCATTACATGTATGTATGCACAAGGCTTAAAGGATTATAGAACATTGGTAGCTTCCTGCAACAATGTACTTAAGTTTTCATACTGCATATTCCAACATCACATATGTTTGTTTCAAGGATTTTGTAAGAGGTGATTGTAGCCGTATTAGTGCACTTGCGACAGAAACAATTGAGTACTGTCCGTGATACTTTTTTTATTTGCACTAACATACAAATTTGAGGACAAGCTTTCGGGGAGTGTCCCCTTCTTCAAGGTCCAAGCAGTACTGTTACAAAGTTTTAGCAGAATGTTAGAAGATATGTGGGGATTGAGAAAAAAAGAAAGCAGAAGGTAACACAAGCCTGTTAGCCTAGAGATAAGAACAGCAAAGCAAAAAGCAAAGACTGGGGGGGGGGGGGCAGCACTCACAGAGGGAGTCATAAATATGTTGGATAATGACTGAGGAATCCCATGTCCAAATTAAGGTGGTTATCTCTTGTGTCAAATAGAATTATCATTCTTAGTTCAAAAGTTTTTCTTTCCTGGATGGATTTGAAATTTCCTTTAGAAACTAAAACATTGAGGTCTTCCATAATGTGGTCCGGTTGTGCGAAATGGTGTCCTACAGGTGTGCAGAGGTCATCTTCTTTAACGGCCTTAATTTGGACATGGGATTCCTCAGTCATTATCCAACATATTTATGACTCCCTCTGTGAGTGCTGTTCCCCCCCCCCCCCCCCCCCCCCCAGTCTTTGCTTTTTGCTTTGCTGTTCTTATCTCTAGGCTAACCTTAGGCTTGTGTTTCTTTCTGCTTTTTTTTTTTTTTCTCAATCCCCACATATCTTCTAACATTCTGCTAAGGATTTTGTAGAAAGCTAAAGTTCTTTTCAAGTGTGTAAAGTAGCTGAATTTTAATCCAGTTGTGAGAATGACACTCATGTATTAAAGTTGAACTCCAAACAGCAATTAAAGTGGTATTACTTTAATAACCAAGCAGCTTACCAATTCTTAGATGTGGTGGCTGCAAGAGTTTTATTTTTAGGCTTTATCCCCTTTGTTTTAACCTAGTGATCCATCCAGCAAGTCTGTTATTTTTCAGAAACAAACCATAAACCAACTTTGAGAAGGGTGCTTACAATGGTCATATTTTATTCATTTATGTCCCAAAAGGAAATAAAAACTCTTGCTGTAACTGCTTAATAGACATGTGCAGTTCATTTTCTTTTAAATCGAAATATTCTGTTATTCGGAGATTCGGATGTATCCGAATTCAGAATTACAGTAGTAACGAATTTAAACAAATCTGAAATAACCAAACTAAATTCGAATTGATTCGAAGTCAACAACAATTGTAAGCTCAAAAGAGCAGGGCCCTCGAACCTCTCGTATATTGTTTTGTTACTGTATTGTCTGATGTACTGTCCCCCACTATATTGTACAGCGCTGAGCAAACTTTTTGGCGCTATATAAATAGTGTATAATAATAATAAATACAAAAACAAATTTGAAAACAAGAATAGAATAGAATAGAATAGAAATTAAAGAAATAGAAAAGAATAGGATATAATAGAATCAAATAGAAAAGAAGAGAGAAAACAAAGAACAGAATAGAAAATAAAAGAATAGAACATAATACAGTAAAAAATAATAGAGTAAAACAGAACAAAATAAAATAGAAAATAAAGGAATAGAAAAGAATAGAATGCATTAGAATAGAATAGAAAAGACTAGAATAGAAAATTAAAGAATAGAATATAAAAGAATACAAAAGATTTGAATAAAAAATCAAAGAATAGAATAGAAAAGAATATAATCAATTAGAATAGAACAGAAGAAATTAGAAAAGAAAATCAAAGAAATGAATAGAAAACAATAGAGTAAAACAGAGCAATATAGAACAGAAAATAAAGGAACAGAATAGAATCAATTAGAATAGAATAGAATAGAAAATCAAAGAAAAGAATAGGAAAAATTAGAATAGGGAATCAAAGAATAGAATAGTATAGAAAAACAATAGAATAGAATAATAAGTATATATCTGCCTGCCTTCTGAAGTTTGAATTTTTGAATTGAATGAATTTGAATTCAAACAGATTACATTAGAATAGAATATAAAATAATAAAAAAGAATAGAATAGATTAGAAAAGACTAAAATACTTTACAAAAAGTTGTGAGCTGCGCTATGGTGACGTGAGTAGTGATCAACAAAGGCACTGTAAAAATTTTGCTCAAATAGAAACAAAACAAAACTTTTTTTTTTCATTTTGCTCATGTCTACTGCTTAACCAGTTCAGCTGTTTAGACTTACTACGTGCGTCCAAAGAGCGAACCCTTCAATCACAAGCTTCAGTAACAGCCATCAGCT